GTAATCGTCTCCAGACGGTAAACGTCCTTGTAAAGGCCCCAATATTGAGGTTCACTTGTACAACTACCTCACTTCAGCATTGTAACCAATCCGACACATACAGGGATACCTGATTGTATGGTTCATAAATGTGATCAGTACTCAAAAGAGGTCATCCTCTAACCTCAACCCGCCTGACCTATTTCTCTTGAGTGGTCTTCCTACCAGGGGGATCGCGTGGTTTACAGCAGTTTTTTTGACGTGCGCGATATCAAATCGCAGGGTTATAAGTAGCTGAAATATATATGAATTTATGTCGTACTCTTCGGCATTCACAGATTAGACTGATGTATCTCTGCAGCACCATATATTCATTCCCGCAAACACAAAACAGAAAGGATCTGAATAAACACGAAAACCATCAAAGAAGCAAGAAATACCAAGCTTTGAGACATAAATATCCCAAACCCCTTAATGAATCACAAAAGTGGCAACGAAAACGAAATTTAGTCGGCGCATCAGGCTTTCCGAAGGCAACCTGAGGTTGTCAGACGTTAACGGTGTGTATATTATTGGCTGATATTTTTGAATAGACGAAGTTGGTCGCTGTGTTCTCATCCATATGCCAGGCGACAGAGCTAAAGTTTTTGGGCTCAGGTTGCCTAATACCATATTGAACACCTGTGTGGTTCAAGTGACCTATTTCAGGGTTACTTATCTCAATGGGTGGCCTCGATTACCTCGCACTGTTTGCGATTTTTACCCTCGAAAAATATTCGGACATCCTTGGGCAATCCATCCTGCCTATCCCTTTCCGTCGCAGCCGCAGGTGAACTGATAATCGAAGTGTAAGATGGTTAAACCACGTGGCCCTTATGAGTAACTTAAAAATCTTTTTTACCGGGACCAGGCAATATGGACGCGGGAGCTAGATGGCCAAAGTGGTTAGAGCGCGAACTTACTGACCGGAAGGTCCGTGGTTCGAACCTGACCTCTGTCTGTCGAATTCCCATGTCTAGGCTTGGGCATCTTGGCAGTATCCCAGCCTTCGTGGTTCTTGCGGGTGGCATGGCAGCTAGGCACGAGAAGGGTGCTACAGCTGAACAATATGGATGCACTGAACGCTGTATAAAGAGATAATCATACCAGCTTGAGTTCTCTGTCTGCTGAGTACCCGAGGCTCCCTTCGGTTGCGCAAGAGCTGTTGTTTTACGAAACCCTGACTCAGCGCATCAGACACAAAACCATAGAACTAAAAATACTGAGTGTTTCATGTGGTTTTATGGTGTTGAGTCGACAGACTGTGGTGAGTTTTTCAAGTTATCAAAAAGTGCATCAGTGAGAGAATCAAAGGTTAAAAGCGAAACGCAATCGATTTATCGCTTGTAAGGACAAATGCGTGAGATGTTGTCCCCGATTGACTCTTTAATTACCCTCATAACAATAGTCGCACGACCATCTATTTGTGCTCAAACGGGTCCCTTGAACTGAAGCCATTGTTTGTGCCCAATGTTTGTGTATATGGCCACCGACTGTTCGTTTGTTCGGGTTCAAGTGAAAGAGCTTTATAGATATAACAAAATTCCATCCCAACTAAGCAGAGTGAAACTACAACAAATTACTATTTTGGAAGTCACGAGGGCAGCATCAAGCCGTCAAGCCCAAGTTATATACAAACACTAACTGAATACCTTCTGGAATGAAGGTATTCAAAATTCACTAAACGACTAAAAAGTAGAAAATACCACTGCTTCAGATTAGCAGAGTGCTCAAAACAATCCCTTACCGAAGAGCAGGTATATCCACATAGTTGACTGGTAGGTGAAATTCATACAAAAAACCCGTTTGCGCATGTGTTGTTGGAAAACCGAACCGGATCAAATTTATACGTTACTTGCCTAACAGATAGTCGAGGGCAAACGAGCGTGACAAAGAGAAGAAAATTGTTCAGAAGTGCTTGTTAAATAATCGGTAGTTTTTATTTGGATAACATTTCGCTTTCGATTCAAAAACTTCATCAGGCCAGGTGGGCAGTTCACCAAAGTGGCTAGGTTATAAGGCAGACGGGGATCCAATCGGTAAGTCCTCTTCAGAGTATCACACTAGATTAGTGTTGAGTGTCAAGTAACGGCTCTTGTCGGCTGGTGTGGTTGCCAAAATCTTAAATTGATGGGTTGGAGGAGTTTCGAAAATTAGTTCCGATCGCTTTTTGTTCCTTAAGCTTCCACTTCAGGGTGCTTCACTGGATTCACCTCGGGGGCCACTGGTAGATTTTTCTTAATCTTCGTGGGCATGTGAATGTTGCGACAATTTAGTTGGGGGGAGGGGAGGTGCGTAAGGTTAAGTGAAATCCAGATGATGACTAACCTTCCCTTTGATAATCGCACACCAACACGTGTTAGATCGATTGACCCAAGACCGTTCTCCACACGCTTGCCAGTTCCACGCCTTCTGTTCGGTTAACACTGGGATGCTTGGCGATTTCTACCGCCTCGGTTATCAGTCTCTGGCTTGGACCGTAGTCCTCACCTAAAAACCTCAACATTTTCTAAGTCTATTTTTGGTCCCGCGTCGAGTGCGTTTTCCGCAACCGCCGAGTCTTTCAATAACGCTTGACATTCATCTGTATTCCTCGTCGACCTGTTTATTTTTCTACTATGCTCTCCGATTCTGGTGTCTGTCCTATGTAGACCTTGGTGTGGTCGTTACACTCAATTTTGTAGACACAGTCCTCGGCTCTGTTTGCAGGGATGCAATCCTCCAACTGCACCAGTGCAGAGCGCAGAGTGTTCCCCCCTCTGGAAAGCTACTCTTATGTTAGCTGTGTTTATAATTCTTCGAATGACCTGAAATGTTCCTGGTTTACACGGAACAACAGCGATCCCTGATGGGTTTTGCTGGAGGTACCAACAACCTCCGCAATTGACGCCTAATCAAGCTCGCTGGATATCCACTTCATTTTGGGCCACTATCTGATCGGCTTCTTCTGTGCACAGGGCCCTTACACGCCTAAACATTGATGAGGCAGTGCTGGCGAACACCGACTTCGGATGGGCAGACGAATAGTTCATAACCTTCCCCCAATGTCGGTCGGCTTCTCGTACACTGTGGTCTTTAGTTTTTCCCCCGACCTTATGTGTCATGCAGTCCAAAAAGGCCAAAAAACCGTGGCTGACTCTATCTCTATACTAAATTTGATGTGTAGACCAATTCAGATGGCTATAGAACTCACTAAACTCGTCTCATTTCATCACGAACGCCGGAATATCTTAGATTGGTATGGGATTCCGGCTAAGGCTCTCTGTTCAAATTCTTCCATGAATATATTTGCCAAAACTGGGGATATTAGAGATCCCATTGCCAGACCTTGTTCTTGAGTGTAAACCAATGAGTCAATTGAAGCACCCTGAGGTGGAAGATTAAGGAACAAGAGCCGATCGGAACTAATTTTCAAAACTCCCCCAATTCATCGGTGAAAGATTTTGGTAAACAAACTAACCCACATGAGCCGTTAATTGACACTCAAAACTGACCTAGTGTTGATAGTGACAGTGATAATCTGAAGAGGACTTACGGATTCGTCCCCCGTCTGCCTTATAACCTAGCCATTTTCGTGGCCAACTCACTTGGCCTGATGAAGCTTTTGTGTCAAAGGCGAAACGTTGTCCAATTAAAAACTAGCGATTGTTTAGCAAGCCCTTCTGAAACGATGACTTCTCGATTGGTTCCAAAACCTTTCAAAGAGAATTTTTTTGTTTTGGAAGTGTCTTTCACTCTACTACGTAGAAGACAAAACACCCATTCAAATCACCGGAACAATGTTTAACTCATGCAAACCTATGTCATTCCAGTTCAAAACACAACATATTTTCCCAAGATCGTCAACTTTAAGAATCAGTTCTGGCACTACCGGATAAGGTTTTAGTTAACAAAACAGTTACATGGGATGTCAGTTCACGAAGTTATTTGGGATCATCGATCAACTGAATAAGCTGGAGATAACAGGGATTATGCTCCAAGAGCTGTCGCGGTTGCATACCGTGGAAAATCACACCCACTAACTACGCATGGGTTACAGATATTATAGTCACTCTTGTGAATTCGGTAGCAGCGCACTTCCTAGGCGGCTAGAACGTTTGATTAGGACAATTGAAAATGTGATACTTACCTTTTCTCAAATGGAAACGTCCAATATTTTTAATGAATCACTTGAGTTGATCAGTTCTTGGTCGCTTTGTAAATATCATTAGGTTCCAAATTGGCCAGGCTTTTTGATTGAAAAGATTCCCGCATCTGCTACAGAGAAGTTTCCTTCAAGAATTCTAACATACCCAGAGAAAGTGAACGGGATAGTTCCCCAATCATAACCATCTGAGTGAGATCACCATCTAGTTGGTCTGCTGCTTGTTTACTGGAAGCCTTCTGAATTCTGTTGCCAACCTCAATATATCTCCCAGTCACGGACGTTTAAAGTCAAATGATGAAAAAGAATTTGCAGGGTTATCTATACGGGCATTTGGGGCCAGATGTTACCAGGTGAACATTTCAATGATAAATTTGCTTCATTTCAGATTAGGGCATACGGGTGTTAGGACAAGTATATCCCTAACTGATTGTTCAGTAATCTCCATTAATTACGAGTTATTCAAAATACATTCTGGCATTACGTGCAGTACACATGAGTGCAACAAAAGGCCTTTCTGTTCAAACACAATTAGGTATAGAATAATATGTTACCTAATTATGAGCAGCGATTGGTACTCAAGTGCACGCATTTCCGTTCATCTCCCTTCTGCAAAACGTAAAGTATATGAGCTGAATATCAACAAAACTAACAGTTGACACCAACTGCTCCTCAGCTTACAAAATAACGGGCAAGAAGTTCCAGAGCATACGTCAGCCAACCAGCAATTCGATTTCCACAAAAATCAATACAGCCATTGATCTGACACTCAAACAGCTATTCCAAGTGACTTGAGTGCACCATGTCGGATTCACAAATGTGGGTTTCCCAATTAGCACGCCCAAGTTCATTTTGTATCTGCTGGTGATTGGTTAACAGTATTACTCGCAAACCACCATTTAGAATCACTCACCGAAATACTAATCAACAGGCGTCCGGTATCACGTGGAATTGCGTGCAGCTTAGCCGTCAGTTGATTGGCCACGTTGTTGACCGAGTGTGTTGAGAGCACACCAGTTTAGTTGATGTTCACGAATTATGTAGCGTGGTGGATCCTAAACATGGATTTTGTACATACGGCTTTAACTCAGATTTTAGTAAGTTTCACATTCTTATCCCATTGTGTTTCGGGGTCACTTATGATAGGTACTTACCATTGCACTTTGATTTAGAAGTAATTGACAGTTACACATTTTGTTTTGTAGTGGATACTTATTGACTACTATAAAGTAACTCCATTGTCGAAATGACCATTAGGCTCACTGTCAAAGTATCTAGAGGACTACATAAGGATTCCTTATTGTGGCTATCATTAGAATCACCACCCTCAAGGAGAACTCTGATGCTTCACTGATGTACAGCCTCAAGGTTTGTATAATTATACTAAAAGACTAGTTGAAAAAGCTAGAAAAGACTGGATTGTGAAGGAACCTACTGCCAGCTTCCTCATGCATTCTTACACCACTAAGTGCTCAGTCAGACAATCTGGAATGAAACTGAACATCCCCCCCACTTTTATTTGCGTTATCACATGGGCTGCTAGATTTGAAATTAACTTTTTTAAATTCCGATCTCTAAAGAGTAGTTATTTTGTACTTCGATGTCGATGCGAAAGAGAAAGTTTGAGGTTTGGATTCTGTCTAGCTACTCCTGGTGGAAGGATCACAAAGACCATTCAACGACACTTCTGAGGTCGTTTAACAGACATACGAATTTTTGGCTGCTGTCTTAAATAGGAAAAAGCTGCACCCCTTGCTGGCCACATTATTGATCCCGAAGTTGCATTTTGAGGTCCACAGCGTGTCAGGGGCATTTTGTGTTCTATGTATGCACTCCACTGCCCGGGCACTGAAATAAGTAAGCGTTTCTGGGTGGAACCGATCAGCTCAGTTGTTCAAGCTGAGCATTTGTGAGCATTTGCGTAGGGATACATTGAAAATCATTGGTGTTTGTCTCCATACCAATTACAAACGTTGGTGCAGATTCAAGTGAAGGTTATTTCAACACCTTGGTCTATTTGAAATTACTTTATCAGTTGTCAACAATATGCATTGTTAAATTCTGTTACCATGGAGTCACCTGCTGCTACCGGTTCCAAGGCTGTCCATGGATCCCTGGGCATGCTAAATATTAACTTGCTGCGCAGATACATGACATAAGTGCAAATCATACGAAATGCATTGGGTTTTGCCATTCGTTTCAACAATTACTCAATTAAATCGACAGCCATTGGACTCTCAGCAATAGTTTTCGCGTTTAAAAATATAGAACTGTGGCTCAAAAGAGCGCCTGTCTATACGAAATATTTGAAAATCGAGTAAAGAAGGAGTCTCTCATCTGGTTTTGATGCGAAGATAGCCATAGGATAAAATACGAGTGCAGTGTGTAACAATCAGCTACTAAAATACTGCCTCGTGCTACCTGTAGGTTTCAGTTTTTTTTGCTCAAAAACGCAGATCGTCGAAAGTCAAAATAGCATTATTTGCAGTACGAAGGTAGACACCTTGGTGGTCAAAGAAGAGTCTTCAAGTATATTCACTTCGGATGAATACGGCCTTCAAGCAGACGATCAATGACAAACCTCACAAAGCTGTTTTGTTAATGAATTCAGCACGTGATTTGTCGAAAACTTGTGCCCTCGTGATCTCACCCTCGGGCAGACAACAGTACGGATTCCACAATATGTACAACGAATCATGTATTTTACTGGACATATGATTGCGTCTGGGTGGCAAATTAGAGAGTTCTCACATTACACTCTACTATTATGTGCAAGTGACGGTTACCTGGTCACGTACAAATGAGTGTGCATGATTCGGAGTGCGTGACGGGTTTGCAATCAGCTCTATTGTGGCCATGCGTTGGTGACAAACAAAAACTATGTTGCCATTCGATGAACAGGTCATATATTGCATTCAAGTCAGTTCCATAAATTGTGTTGGACGAATGAGCGCCTATCAACACCGCGACATTTTACCCGAATAATTCGTCAGCAATTTAGTTATGCACCGGACAAATGCATCGCGGATAAATCTCCTTGAACAATGAAAGTCTATCCCATTTGTTACATATTCTCATATTCAGGATATGGGAAAGAAGGTGGAACGGTGGCTATAAACTTTCCAAGCTTCGCGCGGCCAGGTGAATCTATGGTCTCCTCTTTTTGTCATCTGAATAAAAGGAAGGAACGAAGAAGTTAATTAGAAAATTATCTGTTTGAAACTATGCTTGGAAGTAAATCCTAGCGATAGTGTACATCGATGACACCCTTCCCAAACATCGCACCATATTCAGGACTCCACCTTGGTTAGTTGTTCCTGTTTCTCTAATTGGCGATGCCGAAAGGACCTTTTCACCAATATTGAAAACTAATTTGGGAATTTTACGACTCCCAAGGTTCTGGTGGACTGTAGTACCCGCTAAAAACTGTCGATTAACCAACACCTCACTTGTTTGCTGTGATCACTTGTAGTTTCACTACCTAGTCCAGCTAGAGCCATCTACATGCTTGGCTAAGGTAAGCTTCCACTGCAGAGGGAAAAGTGCGTGCCGGCCATATACCTGGGTCAACTTTACAGCTAAAGAATCGTACATCGAAGTGTAGTGCAGCTTTGTTTATCCAAGATAATGAGCGTTATGGAACTACAGTCAGACATTTCGGACGATGACCTAATCAGTTCACTGACATCAAATGGTTGCCTGGTATGGCAGGGCCTGAGTATCACGGCCATACTCAGGCTGCCATCATCGACTCAAACTTTGGAAAGATCAAATGAACCCGAGTGGAACGCTGACACCAGTCCATCATCACTGACGGAAGTCCAGCGAGGAATCCTATTGCTTCGGTGCCACAAAGCACCTGACCTACTCGGTGTGCATTCTGCACTCTTGAAACAGGGCGGATATTTCCTCGGGGTTAACTTGACGACTCCGTTCAAAAGTACCTGCGTTAAAGAAATTGTAACGACAGAATGGAGTGACTTGATTTTACTTCATTTCAAAGAGGATGAAGGAACGTCATGTGAAAACCCCGTCAGATTCGTCTGGTGGCCATAAATTCCAAGTGCATTTATGATAGTATTGTACGGAGGTTGATACGGTCGAGAGATTCACAGCCATTAGAATCAAGCTGCATTTCGCCATACCCGGGATTGCATCGACCGTAGCTTCATCTTTTGACAGGTTCTGACAGTGCGCAAAGTCTTCCGACGGCCAGTAATGACCGTCATCCTCAACCTGAGACCTTTTGATTTGGCTGAACACAAGAAACTGTTAAATTGTCTGGTACTGAAGGGCATCCATTATAAATTCTTGCCCAGTGCTGACATTACAGAGTGCAGCGTGGATCTGATTTACTGAATTTAGTGGGGGTTATTCTGGTTTATTTTAATGGGTGTTGGTTCTGACATGTGACAGTGCTCAGGAAAGTGGCGGTTGGTGTGGCCGCAGTGCGTCATTCGATGCGTGGAAATGGAGTGCAGGTGATGAAGTGCTGGAAGAATGGAAGGCTGAGCTGTTGTCCCAAAAGTTTAACCTACAAGGAAGTCGAAGGATGTAGGTTATTATAAGAAAACTGCTCACAAATTTGCTGAAAAATCCTGGACGGCAAACTCGTGAGTAGTTTTATCTGAAAAACATACCACAATATCTCAAATTTCGTACCAACTGTAATATGGGACGGGCTTTGTGCTGCAAATTCAGTTGAGAGAATATCATAAACGAGGAATCTAGGTGGGACTCCCGTGAAAATATACTGATGTGCAAGACTATTTGCCGAGATGTAGGTTTTTGTCCGGAGACATTTCCTCTAGTCTCTGATTCAAACGTGAGCCTATGGATGCGTTGTTTTTTGAGTTTCTGTTAAAGGACCTATCCAGAAGGCCATTTGACCACTGGAACTTGCTTCGCACGAAGTCGCAGGGACTGAAACACTCATTGGCTTTAACAGCATTCCTTCCATGCGTGGTAAAGTCCTGGCTGTTTCCTCTGGAGAAGTCAGAATAGCTGCGTCCATAAATGTAGGCATGCTGTTCACATGAAAAACACCCAAAATCTTTATACTCTTATCGCGCGATTCCTCCCGACCGCCTTCTTATAAGATTTCTCGCAATACGCGGACTCATTTTCCTTTGTCAGGCTATTCATCGGTGTCCTTCTAAGCTCCAGTGAAACAGAGTTCCATCGAGGATACCAAGTATAGTATATTACTGCTTCTCGACCATCAAGATAAGGTGGCAGCTTAAGGTTAGGGACCTTAATTCAAAATAGATGATGACTTTCCTGTAGCACAGTGTGCTAGTAATATAGCACAGGTTTCTTCCCGACAATTGTCTTCAAACAACAGTTATCAGTTTTCAGACTTGTTATATCTGATTGCTGTTCCCGCTCCAGGCCTAGTGGCAAAAAAGACTTACCGATAGGAATACAACAGCTTTATTGAGAACAAGTGAGTGCGAGGTCGCGAGTCACTCTCCACGCTGTTTCCTCTGGAGAAGTCAGAATAGCTGCGTCCATAAATGTAGCCATGCTGTTCACATGAAAAACACCCAAAATCTTTATACTCTTATCGCGCGATTCCTCCCGACCGCCTTCTTATAGGATTTCTCGCAATACGCGGACTCATTTTCCTTTGTCAGGCTATTCATCGGTGTCCTTCTAAGCTCCAGTGAAACAGAGTTCCATCGAGGATACCAAGTATAGTATATTACTGCATCTCGACCATCAAGATAAGGTGGCAGCTTAAGGTTAGGGACCTTAATTCAAAATAGATGATGACTTTCCTGTAGCACAGTGTGCTAGTAATATAGCACAGGTTTCTTCCCGACAATTGTCTTCAAACAACAGTTATCAGTTTTCAGACTTGTTATATCTGATTGCTGTTCCCGCTCCAGGCCTAGTGGCAAAAAAGACTTACCGATAGGAATACAACAGCTTTATTGAGAACAAGTGAGTGCGAGGTCGCGAAAATACAACGGCTTTGAGCTATTTTATTAGAGAGATACTGTCTTACCTACGTCCAGCGCTGTCTCGCGCTGCCTGGATTTGATACAAGGCTGTCGGTCGCTGCGTTTTGGGGCATTCAGTGGTCACTTTTAGG